TTTTTTTTTTTTTTTTTTTTTTTTTTTTTTTTTTTTTTTTTTTTTTTATGTCGACGATATAAAAGCGAAGTTTATTTTGTGATAAGTAATAAGTACAATTTGTAATAGATCTATGAACTTATTGTGAATGTAAGATATAAGAAGAAATTGTTTTTTCTTATAATATCTATTTCTTTTCATTCTTATCTCACAATTGAACATATCTTTTTTTACAATAATATTTTCAAATTAATTTACCGATTTAATAACTGAAGCTAAATTTTTTGAGTATATAATAAGTTCTTCATAGATGTATTATACATATACAATATACATTATACATATACGATATATCATACATTTGTATTACATTTTTTTTGTTAAATACATGAAATTATATAATTATAAATTGTACAATTGTATAATTGGAATTACACTTTAAATTGCTATGATTCGTGCGGGGTATACAAATTGAACTATATACATATTCTATCTATACATTTGCATTTGACATTTACATTTCACGCTTAATGGAACTTATTGTATAATGACAACAGAAAAACACAAGTAAACTTTGTCAATTATAATGCAAATTGCGATAACTTTTCACGAAACGACATCTCAAAGCTAATTCTAAAAATAAGTGCTCGTTTACAAAGTGAAAATCTTAAACGCGATTTTCTTTCAACGTCGAGTTGATTGTCAATTTTGTGTAATATAAAATTTTTGAAAATGAAACAGTAAAATATTGACACATACATATATATTTATTGAAAATAGCATATAAGAAAATGAAAATTTTACAATTAATTAGAAAAGATGCCATCTTCGATCGGGCTGGATCTTGGTAGAAATAATAATTCTGTGTGAATTTTGTATATTTTTTCCAATTCAGAACAGTAAATCTACATACTGAAATCGATAATCGATTTAACTTTTGATCCAAATAAGCATCCTTTTTTAAGTATTTATGTAAAATATTTATTGCAAAAAATATTCCAGCCAGGGTTTAAACATGGAATAAAAATTTTGATTAAAAGAATAAAAAAAAATACATTTTTCTTCTTAATTTGATTTCAAATAATTCTTTATATTATTTAAACAAATTAATTTTCGTGTTTCAAATAAATATCGACTAATCATCATTCCTCGTCAATGGTTCATCGAACGCAGAGACTGAATTCATTAGATTTCAATATTTTATACCCTGCACGAGAGAACGAAAAAAAGTTAAAAATTAAAATCTTTCATTAAAACATACAATCCTATATTTCTCGTTGAAGGTAGCGAGCTCCAGGTTGCGTGTACAGTAGCCTACCAGGTACATTGGCAGCTGAACCGCTCACATACGTACCAGGAGATGGTGGCGGTGGTGGTGGATATGAGCTAGGTGGTGGTTGAGGTGCTCGTACAGGATAACCCGAAGTAATCCCACCTGTTTTCGCACCCTTAACAGATAAAAATGGAAGTTTAGATACATGCAAGCGTATGGTACTTTTGTATAGATTATTGCATTGGATATTACACAGGATGTAAGTTTTAGACAAAATAATTGTTGCCAAATTGGACCAAATTTATCCTGTCCCAATTTTGTCAGCAACTCTTTTGCGTGCTTTCTAAAACACGGTTAAAAAAAAAAGATACGAAAGATAATAGTTCGAGCATAACCTGAGGTGGTTGTTGAATCGGGATAGCTCCACCGTGGACAGTAACGTGATTTGTTGGTCGCAAGTAGAACTTGTCGTCGCCGTAACTTTTGTGCTCCATCGAGTGTAAGTTAGTTACGTATGCTACAAGTATAATTTTTTTTTAAATAAAAAATTGAGTTTTATAAAACCTTATTCTGAATAGAACTATTACCGTATTTTTCGTTTTCGTTTAAAAATTATCTTAGCCTCAAGTCTAATATTCTTTTTATTTGTAGCGAAATTTTTCTGCTTTTTCTTTTCTTCATATCTTTCTCGAATTCAATCATTTACTTCTGAGGTAACGCAACACTAGAACTAACGTCGTGACAAGATAAATTGCATTACCAGTCTGATGTGTGGCTAATGGGGCTCTACCGCCCGAAAGATAAACGGGTTTAGCTGATTCTGAGGACTCTCGAGATGGTTGTGACACAGGTGCGGAGTAACTGTAAACACTCTGGCCTGAAGGCGCCGAATAAAAATTCGATGCGGAGTACTGATTATTCTCTGTCGAACAAGGAGGAAAATGATTAAGATGAATGATCAGATAACATGAAAACGATGGAAAACACTCATGTTTTTTATTCGAAAAAGCAAAAGAGACGCAAAAGGAAGAAAGAATTATTCACTCACTATTCCAAAGAACTGCTCGAGCATCACCGGATCTTCTGGCAGCTTCCTCAGATTCTATAAGTAAAAATACAAAGCATCAGTATTCGATGCCATCTCCACGACTTAAATTGTGTGGAAATTATATTATCATTTAAAAACTAATCGTATTTGAAATTATCTCTTTTTTGAAGATTTTGGTGATTATTGCCAGTAAATGTAAATAAATGTGTGTGAGTTATCTATCTGGTAAGATAGATAACTTATACTTACTAGGAGGAGGTGGATTATAACTTGGGATAGACGGTGGTGGTTTGTAACCATACGTGTGATATGGAGATGCAGTGGGTGGCGGTGATGGAGTGTGGGTCCTCTTCAAAGTTCCCTGGAGACAAGAAAAATTGAAATGCAAAATTTACTCTAAAAATAATATGTATGAAGTACATACATTGACGAGAAAGTTTCACTTACACCCTGTAACAGATGTGTCGGTGTGCCGACAGCAACCTTGTAGAGAGGACTGTTGCTACGTGGTAATGGTAGAAACAACTGTGGGTGTACCACTCTGGGACCTGTTGCGGGATATCCTCCCACTGTCGTTGAAACTTCCGAGCAAACGCTATAAAACAAGATTTTATCGTATAAATATATACAGCATACATTATTAATTCCTGAATTCCTTCAAACATTGCAATTACGATGGGAACCTGGTTTCTTTTATGAGTTGTCGCCTTCTGTCGTCCTCGTTTAGAACCTTCTTCAATTGCAGGAACAACTGATGCTTCTCTGCTTTCAATTGAGACAGTTCATTATCTAAATTTGAGATTTGTTCTCGCGTTTCACCTAGCGTCATCACGTCTTGCTTCTGCTGGCGCTCTCTCTCCTTGCGTAAGCGTTCTTCCTCGGCGTCAGCCTCTTGTTCTAAAATACAAATGTAAGATGTTACCAAGACGCTTGGGTAATCTTTACAAAGTTTCTCTTAGACGAAACTCCGTCTAAAGTACATAAGTAGTTTAGAAAGATTAAGACAAAAGATAAGTTAATATAAACTTCCATGATATATGGACTATCTCAATTGTAACAGAGAGAGACAGGTTTCCACATTAAGCACCTTGTTTCTTTCGTTGTCGTTCTCTCATAATGTGAGTCTTTAGCGCCTGCCACATTTGTTCATTGCGTTGCGGTGGTCCGACTAATATCGCCGGCATCTTTCTGCCACCTGACAATTCCTCGCCACCCGGCGTTATGTATTTACTGAATTACCAATAAGTCAGGTTTCCCAAGCCAGTCGCATTAGCGGCTGGAATGCTGAAAATACTGGAATAGCTTTGGAGTTACATCCTTCTGACAGACGGACGGATTCTCTACTCCACTCCTCCACTCTACTCCAAGGATTATGGCGACACATAACACATACAAAAGAAACACAAAACACAACACACAGATAGATTGCGCGCGACGCGCGACCCGCGACCCGCGACCATTGGAAGCATGAGAAGGCAATAGTGAATCAAGTCATAAATGCCAGAATGAGGACGCGGCTCACCTGACTTTTGTGATTCTTGAAAATTAGAAAAAGATAAAAAGTAATTAAAGTTAACATATATTGCTAAAATGGACAGTAGATAATAAAAAATTAATGTTTATTTCAATCAATGCAGATTTAATCTCGGTTTAACTTACTTTTTATCTGTTTCTAGTTCCAAGAATTAGAAAAAAAAAAAAATAAGTTAGTCCACATCACGGTCGTATGTAAGACCGTGGTCCACATTGATAGAAATGAAAATAATTCTATTCATGACTTCATGACTACAAAAATATTTATGCACATACGTTCCTGGATTTTGCCGTTGCTGCGTGCGCATGAACTAAATGTTAAAGGTTGCAATCCGCTTGACGCAACAAATGCTTCGAAGTATTCCTTGATTGGTCAATCAGTAAAATTCTTTGTTCTGATTGGTCAATCAAACGCTTTAAACCATTTGTAGCGTCAAGTGGACCGCAGCCAAAAGACCCTATAACAAAATATATGTCCATCAAGCCCCGGACACACAAATCGACGGAAGACGTAAGAGCTCATACTTATTTTGTTACAAAATCGGTGGTCGTCCACAGAGTAGAGCACATACTTTAATTCTGTGCAAGATTTTTTCAAATCCATAAAGCCAATAAAAAATAAAGCGAAAAGTACGATTGTCGGTATTACAGACGGCTTTAGGATTCCCTTAAGACGTAAATCGTAAGGAAATCCACTAATCACAGTCGACTATTCCCCTCTTCTTCCCTCTTAAGGGGATGCTGGAGCCGTAGCCGAACTCGATCGGCGTCGGTAAAGAAGACCGGCGAACTATATCTGTCCTTGTATAGACAAAGATATAGACAAGGATAGCACGCTACATTGCACGCACACATACGCACGATGCACACCGACATTATACTTTTATATTACGCTTCCAAATCTTGATTTGGAGGGTTTATCGATGTTTTTCTTATTGTGCAATTCGGGGGAACTTGTTTTCGCGTTCGTACCAATGGTATATCTCTTATATGAAATACATCTTGTGACGAACTGACAGCTCGCCGCAACTCGAGACGCCATATTGGGATAAGAGTAGGATAAGGAAATCTGTACTTCCGTAATTTTTTCTCGTTTTCTATATAAAATCGGAGTTTCCCCGAATCATTAATGTATGTACTGCAATTCTGGAGAAGGATTTTTAATTCCGTCAAATTAATACGACGCTACGTGCCGACAAAAAATGCCGGTAAAACAGACGGCTCCAGCATCCCCTTAAAGAGGGGAATAGTCGACTTTGATTGGTGGATTTCCTTACGATTTACGTCTTAAGGCTCGTCTACACGACAAGGCGTAAGACGGCGTAAGGGCGCAGACGCAGGCGCAAGAAGTTTGTTCTTGATCGTAGCGGCGCGGCGCAACGGCGCAGGAGAAATAAATTATTTTTATTTCCAACGCCTGCGCCCACGTTACGCCGACTGTTTTGTAGGTTAAATTAACGGCTTGGGTCGCTCACGTATCATCGCCGGATGGCCGATGCTATCCGTGAAGAAACTTTTGTGCCAGAAGAAGAAGTATCATCGCCGGCTTTACCTCTATATAGTGTGAACGTTGAAAACATGGAAGAAAGTTATAATGAGGCGTGTTCCTGTGTAGACGAGCATGGCGCAGACATCTTGCGCCTACGCTTGAGTTTGTGCCTGCGCCCTTGCGCCGCGCTTTTATGCCTTGTCGTGTAGACGAGCCTTTACGTCTTCCGTCGATTCGTGTGTGAAGGCCTTGAAGGCTTTCACGCTGATCTAACCTCACATGAGCGCGCACATCACGGAGTCAGGTGTCTGAGTGAGGTTATAACAATCGATGTAAACAATGAAAACCGAAATGTATAATGAAATAATGATGACAATCCGCAATTTTCGAGGCCTGTCAAGAGATTGCGCCAAAATGTTAAAGGAGAAATATAATGAGTAAGAATTCCTCTTTTATTAAGATGCCAATCGAGAAGGATAGGTGATAAAGAACGATTTGCTGATTAATTAAATCTTAAAAACGTCAATCTAACGTAACTGTGTGATCCCCTTTTATTGTTAATTAATAATTAAGATACTTAAAAATAAGATTGATAAGATGTTTTACTTTTACACAGCATCCATCCAAACACACTGTACAGCATCCTGTCTTTAGAAATACAACAGAAAATGAAAACCAATCACGTTAGATTGTTTGGAAACAACAAAAGTTATTACGACAGGTAAAATAATTTTAGTAAAATCATTGATTGTACAGAGTACATGAACGATTGTACAGTATAGAAAAAAAATATCTATATATTCTTCTTAAAATCTCAAATTTTGTTTTTGTTTCGTTGTATACTATGTCTTTTTAAATCATAGCTACTTGGAAGCTGTACAGAATGGGGAGCCAGTAGGCATTCTATTAAGGATAGCAAAAGACATCGACGCTGCACCAGCTTTATTAGCACGTAACATTTTGGAAAAATACTGTATGCGCGACAATGCAAATGGTAACAGTAATCAATATTTGAAGGCCAGAGTGACAAGCAAAATAAATTAACGGGCATTTTGGATTAAAGATATTATGTAAAATTTTATTTCAGTTTCGAAAAATCTAGTTTCCAAGCTGTTTAAGGATACGACACTGATTGACGATAAGAATCTTGCGTATGAAATTTACTTGGTAATTAATCTAAGTAGATATATAACCTTTCATAAGATGTTGCATATTTCATATTGATTACAGATTTTATGATATATTTGTTTTAATACATTTAATATTTAATATATAAATTATTATGCTGCTTATCACGAAAAAAAATGAAAATTTTGGAAGAAACTGACGATTTTTTTTATTTCAGTGCACATTATACGATGATCTGTATGGACCTATAGCAGATGCAATGGGAATGTAAGTATTCTTCATTATATGTGTTGTATTGAAACTTCAAGTCTATACTATCTTTTTCAATATTATTGTAGACATTAATCAAATAAAATTCTTTGTTTTATCCTTATATTAAGAAAAATAAAATAAAAATTTGATAAAATAAATTTTATTTAAATTAAAAGAAATAAACATATGAGGATAAAAAACTAACAAGATAATAACTTTTAATTTTTATTAAAACCTCTCTGATACTCGTCTTTCTTAATTTTCCTGTGATGTAAAATTACAAAAATTACAAAATGATATTAATAAATTATAAAATGAGAAAAATGTATTTTTTTTTATTAGATGCATAGGGCGAGAATATGAAATCAAGCTTCAAAATTGTCTAATACAAAGAAATGTTGCATTTCGTAACGAAGAACACTTACGATTACGAGGATATGACAAAACTCCAGACATTAAATTGGAAGTACCAATCGCGGTGAATGGTTACGTGATAAACTGGATTGAATCCAAGGCACGATTTGGTAATATGGACGTTCATCAAAAATACATGAAGGAACAATTCTTGAGCTACTGGAACAGATTCGGGTCTGGACTAGTTATTTATTGGTTCGGATTCCTTGACTGCTTGAACAGATCGACTGAAAAGAAATTTATTATAATGGACCATTTTCCCGAAAATATTACATACATGGATCCAACTTGTATCAAACCTATGAATAGTACGTGATTATAATCGATATAATTGTATATATTTATTTTTGTACAGTTATCTTCAAGAAATGACAAGAGATGATACATCTAATATTTGTAAATAGATTTCTGTTAGAGGATCTGATCATGAATTAATATTTTAATACTATTTCTGATTGTTATCGGAATGGATTAAAGTATGGTTTTGTATTTTTATATTGTAATTATTATATTCAAGTCATTAAACTATTCATGTATTTTTATTTTCCCTCCAAATGTTCGCGAAAACTTAAAACTATTTAGTAGAGCTACATAATCGAGTAAATGAATATTATGTAAATGAATATTATCACATGACTGAATGAATTAAAATCACAGTCCTTAAAAATACAATGTAGCTACAATATATATATATTACAATCTGTTTTCTAATGAATCAATTGTACGATGAAACAAAGTTATTTATCTGGTTATATTTACAGTCCTTTGAATCTGAATCCTTTAAACAAAATTGGACAATTCGTTGAATTTATCAGATTTTATCTTTCTTCCTATTTTTATCCGACACTGTATACTTGTCGTAACTTTTCGTTGGGTCAAAAGGTTCCCATCTACTCGCTGGAAAAATGTGTTTGTTCCTCTCGTACCATGATCTAAAAATAAAAAAGCGGCATAATAAAAGTGAAAAAATAAAAAAATTACATAAAAGAGAATTATACAAAGTATTCTTTTAATGATAAATACCTAAGTAAAACTTTTCCGGCATGTGATTCCTCGGTTTCGACAGAAGCATCGTGCATAACACGAATATCATCGTGAACGTCAAATGTGAACAGAGGTCCGCTCTTTCCTCGTGCCTAATCGCAAAATATTACATACATTAAAATAACATGCCAACATTGTGATATTACTTCATAAGTTTTATCATTTAGTATCTTTACCTTAGTTACAATAAAATCGTAAAACGTATAATGGTGCGGTAATATAAGATCCTCCTTGACATACATTAACTGATCTGCCATTACTGTTTTAAGCTCGCTGAATTCACGCCTCAGAACTTCTAAACATCTCTGAAGAAGTTGATAGATAGAATTACCTGTATGTGAAAAAAGAAAAAAAATATTTTAATTTATGCAGCAGAACATTATACAATATACCATGCCAATGTTACTCCAAAAGTGACACTGGAGTATTTTAATAACTTAAAAATTCTCTAAATCACTGAGACATTCACCTTTCTTCATTATAACACTCCGACGATGGCCAGATCCATCCCAATAACTGAATGTAATCTCAATTTCTTCTTCCTTCAACGCGTTCTGCTTTCTAGCCCATTCTTGCCTCAATTCTTCCCTAAGTTTATTTTCTTCCTCTTCCCTTTCCCTATCTGGCAAGAAACTTGTATCAACATCTGGATTTTTCTTGATCTTCTTACTTGTGGGGCCATCAGATTGCACATTTTCTGACTCTGGGGATTTTTCGAAATTGTCTTCGTCAGAAGACATCTCAGCTTTATCTTCGTCTTCGTCCAGATTAAAAGACAAAGCTTGAATCTGCCTCTTCTGTTTGTTCTTTTCTGCCTGCTTCGCCGCTAGCGCTCTTTCCTTTTCCTGCTCTTTTTCACGTTCCTTTTGAGCAAGTTTCCTTTCACGTTCCTTCACTATATTCTCCTGCTTTGCTTTCATCTCATTCAATGTGACCAAACCAATCGTGGAAGTCTTTAATTGTTGCTCAACAGCATTGTAATGAGTCGCAAACTTATTCTCTATGTTATGAATCTTCAAGTCATCTTCGATTTTCTTTTTTCGCAGTTCTATCTCTTGCTGCGCAATTTCTCGCTTCTTCATCAGTTGCATGGCTCGACCAGCTTCGCTGGCTGCTCCTTTGTAATGTGCCATGTTTTATAATAACACTCAATTACTGCTTACAAGTACAGGAGTTTCTTGAAGCCTTCACCAAATTTGTTATAAGATTCACTATAAATAAATCCGAGATAAAAATCTTATATTAATAGATGTAATATTTCTAAAAATTATGATGCTCTTAAAATCATAAAGCTCTACTTTTACAATAAATAATATACAAATTGTATAGAGATCTTTGATAATTATTTAAATTTCAACGTTAATATATGATAGATTTATCGTTTTGAGAGACTTAAGCTAAAGATTCTTTTAATCTTAAAATTTGTTTTTTTATGAAAATTTTCATATTTACTTTGATTCGATTTTAATAAAATATTATTTATATGTAAATATTACTTTCTATTATGTATTACCTGCAACGCAATTCCTCAAATATTTAAAACGTATTTATATAATAAAACCAATTTAAAATAAACGAAGAACTGTAAGAAATATTAAAATCCACAGACCACCACAGACGCTCACGACACTGAACTGACTGAAACCAACTGAAACTGACCGAAGTGTGTTTATGGCCTAGTTTACACCGATCTCTTGATACGCGTATCAAATAGTATATTTGAACTGATCAGCCAATAATCAGACTTATTTACTAGTTATTTACTATTTAATACGCGTATCAAGTGATCGGTGTAAACTAGGCCTATGGCTCCTGCACACAGGACGCGGCAGCGCGGCATTGCGGCAACGCGGCACCGCAGTAACCAATCACCATCTGCCTTTCCGTACTACTTTCAAAAGTAGAATACATACATATCTATGTATGTATTCCACGTCCATTGATGCGATCCTAGTCACCCACAAGCT